AAAAAAAAAGGTACACATTTGGATAAAAGTGGATCAAATAAGCAGTGGAACTTTTGAACTTGGCTTCCTTCAGCATGTTGTCCTGGAATTAGGCATTAACAATCCTCTTGAGAAATAAGGCCTCTGTCTTTAGAGCGTGTTGTTGTGTCTATTGTAAGTCAGAAACCCTCTCAAGATCTACATGACATCTATAAAGTTCAAGAACAGGAAGATTTAGCCTATTCCCTCCCCCCACCTCCTTTTCATCTTATCTTAAAGTTCCTGGATTTTGACACCAGTGGCTGTAAACAGAAGGCAGATAAACCAAGACATTTGGTGAATATCAAGTTGAAAAACATGGCAGTTTGTTCTTTTCTCAATCATAGATAGTCCTTGACTTGCAATCGTTCATTTAGCAACTGTTTGAAGCTACAATGGCACTGAAAAAAGCGATTGATGATATCTACCTATCTATCATCTCTCTCTCTCTCTATCTTATCTATCTGCTTCATCTATCTACTGTATCCAGGGGTGGGATTCCAAAATTTTAACAACCGGTTCTGTGGGCGTGGCTTAGGTGGTGGGCGTGGCTTGGTGGTCATGTGACTGGGTGGACATGGCTTGGTGGTCATATTATTGGCTGGGTGTGGCCAACTCAATATCACATTGAGGCACGCATCTCCTCGCCTGGCCTCTCATGACTGTGGGGATGCTGCAACTGTCATAAGTGTGAAAAATGGTCATAAGTCACTTTTTTTCAGTGCCATTGTAACTTTGAATGGTCACTCCACACAAGCAAAGTACCAGCAAAGGAGGGGAAAAAACTCCAGAGAAGTTCCTGAGACAGGAAGTCTAGTCCTGCCAAGAATGTAATAAGGGTTAACGGAGAGGCAGTTTCTGTAAGCAACACCAGAATGTTTCCTTCCTGCCTTCCTTACAGGATTAGGCCAGTAATTTCTTCTGACAACCGGTTCTCCAAACTGCTTAGAATGTTAACAACTGGTTCTAGTGAATAGGTGCGAACTGGTAGAATCCCACCCCTGACTGTATCTATCATCTATCGATCTATTGATCAACCTATCTCTATCATCTCTCTCTCATCTCTCTCTCATCTGTCTATCTATCTGTCTGTCTGTCTGTCCCTCCGTCCATTCGTCCATCCATCCATCCATCCATCTATTGTATCTGTCTGTCTTTGTCTGTCTATATCTACCAACCTACCTACCTACCTACCTACCTACCAATCTCTATTATCTATCAGTCTATCTATCTATCATCTGTCTGTCTATTATCCATCCATCCATCCATCCATCCATCCATTCTATCTAATCTATCTGCTGTATCTATGTACTGTATCCATCATCTATCAATCTATCTATCTCTATCATCTATCAATCTATCAATCTCTCTATTATCTCTCTCTCTCTCTCTTTCTCTCTCTCTCTCTCATATCTCACTCTCTATCTGTCTCTCTGTCTGTCCGTCCATCCATCCATCCATCCATCCATCCATCCATCTTATTTATCTGCTGTATCTATCTACTGTATCCATTATCTATCTATCTATCTATCTATCTATCTATCTATCTATCTATCTATCTATCT